CCCCCCCCCCCCCCCCTCCCCAACTACATTTCACCGGATTACAGTTGTGTAGAAGTAGCCGTAGGTCACCAGACTATTATCTGCTGAGATTTGAGGTAGAGTGTTTGTCCATTGCAGCATAGTCCACTCTTTGACAACCCATTTTTAGGTTTCCATTCAATCCAATCCAACATTCCCTTGTTTTCAAATTGGTTGGAAAAGCTGTTCATACGAATTGCAACGGTGGCTTTTCTATTCTTTTAAGTCGAACAAATTTCTCTTCTCAAGCTTCTCGTGTTTTCGTTTTGAATGCCTGTTGTCAGCGTCCCCAGAAGGCATTCCCACATCGTTCTAGACAAGTTGCCCACAGTCTGGACAATATGGGAAAGAAGACTTGAAGAGCATATGAACATTAATCTATTCCATCTGACAGCGATAGCCGACCCAGGTTGACTAATGAGGGGTGTACGTGTACGAACGTGCGTCCGAGGGTGCGCGCGGCAAATTGCGCGGCGAAGTTCGTAATGATTTGAACGACTTTNCGGCAAATTGCGCGGCGAAGTTCGTAATGATTTGAACGACTTTGGCGCCTATCATTTATGCCCAAATTTGAAATAGAGTGGATTAGGAGGATCATCTGACCCTACTAAACTACATACTTCGAGTTTGTGCCCCGAAAATTGGCGCCGCAGTCGTGCAAATCGTCGCGAACTTCGCCGCGCAATTCGCCGCGCGCACCCTTGGACGCACGTTCGTATCGTCCCCCACTAATGAGTAGGATTCGGACTCGCGAAGAACTTCGCAGTTCATTAGATCGTGGTAAGTCTCCATCATGGCAGCATATTCACGGAAACAGTACGGCTGCTTCACAGTGATGTTCGGTCATGTACGAAAATTTGACTTCATGGTGAACCCAACGTGGACCTGGATTCCGTGCACCACACGGTCCCTTGCATACCGAAAACCAATGAGTCCTGCATACAGTTCCGGCTACTGTGGGAGGCGTGATTGAGGAAAAACTGGAAAACCCTTTTGTAAATCGAAGGGCAGAACTTGAGACCTAATATACTGGGCTGAAGGCTGATCTGCTCTGGATACCGCATAATCAGTGCCTTACTATTTTGCAAAGGTGTGGATTTTACTCCTACAAGAGCTCAACGACAAGACATTCGTAAAGGCTTTCCTCTAAGCTGAGACCTATACGAAGTAGTCGTCAGCAGATCAAAGGAACTGTCTTTGAATGTTCAAACCACTTTTGACATTAAAAATTGAGACCACATTTTGACATTACTTGTTTACGTAAACAAGAAAAAAGGAAGGCCCATCCTCAACTCAACAGGAGGGTCAATCAAAGGCTATGGCTCCCGTTTTTCTTATGTTAAGTCCAGCGATCTAAGGAATAAGCTGAAGCTTACCATTGTTAGCTAATATCGACAGTGATCTCTTCGAGAAGCTCAATTCCCTCAAGACGTTCAGAAAGGCTTTCCTGTAAAGTGCTCAGGTTCGATATGGGATTTTGACTTTTCGTCAAAAGAAATCGTCAACTTCCATTTTTTATGCCAACCCTCGTTTCCATTCGTGAATAAAGGGATGGAGCTGCCAAGGCAGCGCCTTGGGGAAGCTGCCAAGGCAGCGCCTTGGGGAAGCTGCCAAGGCAGCGCCTTGGGGAAGCTGCCAAGGCAGCGCCTTGGGGAAGCTGCCAAGGCAGCGCCTTGGGGAAGCTGCCAAGGCCAGCGCCTTGGGGAAGCTGCCAAGGCAGCGCCTTGGGGAAGCTGCCAAGGCAGCGCCTTGGGGAAGCTGCCAAGGCAGCGCCTTGGGGAAGCTGCCAAGGCAGCGCCTTGATCCCATCAGATCTATAGGAATTGATTTGCGCAATCGACCCAAATTATAAGAGCATATCAAGGGGCTTCGGAGGAACGGCAGCGAATGCTTCGCAGCAAAAGCTACGAAGAGCTGTTTATCCTCAAATCCTTCATAAACGCTTACGAGTATAATGTTGCAGTCGGACAGGAGCTGAAATTTTTAGATTTGAACAGAACGTCTTTGAACCTCGTTTTTTTGCCAACCCCTCTTTCCTTCTCGGAAAGGAGCTGCTATGGCACGACCTTGTCTAGGACCCCAATATGAGGTAGCTTTTTAGAAAAATTTACGCCGTGATTATACAGTGCAAGACCTTGGAGGACAGTAATTTTGCTTCTGCAGGGGGCAAAGCACTGAGAAGATTGAAGTAAAAAGCCTATTCAACATACCTAGTAGATTTATGATCCATGGACCATGCTTGTACGATGAGCTCATTTCACGACTATCCCGCCTCAGCCTGGGCTGCATCTTATGAACGGAGATTCTGAATAGCTGAACAATCTGTCGGATCTACCAAATCACATCTCGATTTCAGCAGCGACATGCGACCTAAAGTTGACTTTAAGTAGGGTTCAGAGTCGCGAATAACTTCGCAAATTAATCGATGTGAATATGGGACCACAAATTCCATGAATTGCGATATGAAATTGAGACAAAGAAGGCCTATTCCTCAGAAAGAGCTGTCCTAGCAATGACCAACGTTTCAAGTTCCCTCACAGACGGTCCTATCTTTCAGGAAAGAAGCTGAAATTTGCCAGCCAAGCTGATGCTGATTGTGCCCCTTCAAAGAGCTCAATTCTCGTGACCCCATCCACAAAGGTCTTCCTGTGGGTGTGGGAGTCCTGTGGATACTAAAATGTTGAGAGTTCAGAGAAAAATTGTCAGCCACCATTTTTTTGCCGATCCCTCATTTCCATTTGTGAATAACGGAATGCAACTACTGATGGCAGCACCTTCGATTCCGTGAGATCAAAAGGAGCTGATCGGCTCGATCAAATGTAAACTTGTAATGAAAAGTTTTTGAGGTTACTATCATTTTTGGTATGTGAATATGGTGGAGACCTCTACATAGTACTCCTCAATTCAGTGCAACTCTCCTTCATCCTCCAAACCCTTCTTGTTGTTGAAAATATGAGAGCTCACTTTATTAATTGCTTTGTGAAATTTTCAGTCAAAAGACATGGCTTCTGTTCCCCTCATAATAAGTCCTCTACTCTAAGGGAGAACCGAAGTTCACCGAAGGCAGGTTGGTGGAGATTTTAATCCTACAAAGAGCTAAATTTCTTCAGAAAATCCATGGAAGATTTCCTGTAAGTTGCTCGAGTTCGATCGATACGAGAACTCTCCGATGCCCGCCCAACCGGTGCAGGCCCTCATCCCTTGTGCGGCCATCAGGCCACTGCCCATCGCGATGATCGATATGAGCACATCCATCGATTGTGTGTCTAGGACCCCGATGGTGTAACTTTGGAAGAGTCGTGATTAGATAGTGCAAGTTCTTTAGGGACAGTAATTTCACTTCTGCAGGACGGCAAAACATTGAGAAGATTGAAGTGCAAAGACTATCCAATCTACTCAGCATTTGATCCGCGGACCGTCTTTGTAAGAGGTGCTCGTTAAACCTGTATGCCGCATTGGCCTGTCCTGCTTATGCGAATGGAGATTTTGAGCAGGTAAACAGGCTGTCGAACCAACCAAATTACTCTACGTTCTCGGGAGAATGGGCAGTCGCAAAATACACTGATTCATTTTACGAATTCCAGTAAAGTTGTGAGGGAAGAATCAACCTAATTCACTAGAAATCAGGCCCTACTTTTTTATGCTTCTGAGTATGTCCCAGTATCCCATTATCGGAATCAATATAATCATTGTTTAATCAAGTCGATCACTCAATCGAACGATCTCCTTTTCTAAGGGACCAAGCAGCGAAAACTGGTTTTTATAATTATTAACTTGACTCCACTAAGTCACCGAATTCTTTTAGGGTCTTCAATTTTTGATTCCTTTTCGATAAGTATCTAGTCTGTGATACGATCAAAATGAATCGGAGATCTCAGAAAAGACTCAAATAAATCAAAATAGTTGCAGCACTTAATGCTTTTTATTAAGTTATTGATACAAGTATTATACATACAGTAATATCATTCTATCACTGAACTTATGAACAGAATGAGGTTTTCGCCATTCGACAGAACATGTTCCATGAGAACTTGGGTTGTGGTTAGAGCAAACCTTCTAGATCATGACCTTCTGGTAATAATCTCGTGTCGTTCGTAGCCAGTGGAGTTGCCGTATAGCTAAATATTACAATATTAACATCAATCCAATACAGTACTACAAATGCTATAAGGGCTGGTACTCTTCACGTTTTAATACTAAAAAAGCACTGTAGGGCAGAGAGGGAGGTAGAGGCTGCTTCACGGGCATGTAAAGGTACCTAGAAAGTTCCTCAGCCAAGTAAATATTTTCCTCCTAAACTTTGGATAGAGTTTTCGTAGGGAGGGGGAGGGGGTGTAAGTGCTAAGGTGCTAGCACACTTAGCACACTATTATTGCTAGGGTTATCTGAATGGTCAATTCTTTCCGTTCCTTGCACGTACTAATCACCTCATCCACCTAGATGCTTTCCCCCCCCCCCCCCCCCCCCCCCCCCCCCCCCCCCCCCCCCCCCCCCNTCCCCCCCCCCCCCCCCCTCTCCCCTCCCCCGCAAAACCGGCTACCCCTCCCGTCCTGCGCTCTAGTGCTCAGTGCTAGAGACGAAAGGTGACCCCATCATTATTTCCCCGTCAAAACCTTTATTGTCTTTTTAATGATATTCATACGAACCTTGTTTTCGACTTGTGAGAGTTTTCCGGTGAAGTATCATTCGATGGCTTTTCATGCGGCACTTCAGAGGATGGCTTCGCCGTTGGTGGAGGGGTTGTACTCCTTGTTGTAGGAATAGTAATGTGAACTGTCCTTAGACTCGATGTCGTCGTCGTCGTCGTTGCCGTCGTTGTTGGCTTGACCCATGGTGTTGTAGTCCGTACAGATTCAGCAGCACTTGATTTTTTTGTTGTGACTTCATATGGAATAGTTGGTACGTCCTCAGAAGTAAAGTAAGACTTAGATATGAACGGATGCACACTTGTAACGGGAATAGTTGCCGTAGTAGCCGACGTCGTCCCTACGGTGGACATGTCATATACTGGTTCTCGAATATTAGCAAACTGCATTGGGCGAGGCTTTGGATAAACTACACTGTCGTTACAGTACGATTGGGCCCTGAAAATTGGTTTGATTCATTCCTCATTTCCTGAATTTTCGAATTTTTCGTCAGAGTTATAGTCACCATGATCAGCTGTGATCTCTCATATGCAAGCAAACCAAAATTCAACTGATTAAATTATTCCACCTGCAACAACCCTTGTGTTCACCTTCTTCTGAAAATCTGGCAGCAGTACCCTTAAAAAAGAAACAAACCAGTACTGCATACTCCTTTCGAAATATATGTCATTATCAGCGGCACGTATTTCCCAGGGCGAAAGTCGAGAACTGCATTGTGGATCTTCCGCTCCCAGACAAACAAAATATTTTGCTCCGATGCCCATCCCGTTTGGGTACCAGACCTGAGTTCCTTCAAAAATCGTTGTACTTGAATAGAAAAACATTAGAGTATTACCTCGTAGCGATGATGATGAGGTGGGGTCCATTCGCCATCGAATTTCCTCGGATAACGTGGGACCATATCACGTCCATGAATAATTCGGAAACGATAAGGCACCTTTGACAGATCTACGTTTATTAGAATGGCATTCATACAGTAGCACTTTCTAACCACGCTTACTCCTATAATGAAACACGCCCACAACTCTTGTGTAGTATGGGATTTCACTGGTACACTTGGTACGGTCTAATAACGCGTGCCCAACCGCGAAGAAAGTGCGAATCCGCCGCGCGCGGCGAGTGGCTCAGGTGTCCCTTGTGCCCGCTGTTTTCTTGCGCGTGGCCACGTACTCACCTTTTGGTGCACAGCGAATTTCTTATATGTTCTCTTAAATAAATGACTGCTTCCCTAATGCTGTTAGAAGAATGTATTCTAATTGGGGTGAAAATGCAGTCGAAGAAGGCTACTAACTTCCCACCTTTGTGTGCGCTCTCTCAGTTCGACAGCATTCCGCAAGCCAATTCCTCTTTCATTGCGACTTTTCGCATGAATCATCATCTCACTCATCCCTATGTTCTTACCCTTCTTAGCTCTAGGCTGAAAACTCAGTGGCCGCCTTCAGACTTCGACGTCCGTCCGTCCGTCCATTCGTCGCGTGCGTGCTGACACGACGGCGCTAGAGAGAGGTTAACAACGCTGGGTACCGATCGATATCGTAAGACGGGATGATGAAATTGGTCATCCCCTTGTCTTGTCGATAGATATTCTGCGCTGTCAACACCCCTTCCGGAATCGCGGACGCGGCACGCACGCGACCGCCGTCGCAGCATTTACGCGACGGACGGGCGGACGGACGTCGAAGTCTGAAAGCCGCGAATCACCCTGGCTCAGGAGCGTCTTTAGGCACCACTACAGGTCTGCGAAGCAGGCGCCTTACGCTTCTCTGACCATCAGCGCTAGAGACACAGAGCACGGTGCTCCCCCCCCAACTACATTCCACTCCAACTTGCAATCACATTCAAATACTTAGGTATATATATGTGTTTGATTTCAAACGACGCTGGTCGGTTACTCAATGGATTTTCTCCCACACACTCTCTTCGAAAGGATTTACTCTTACCAATGCCTCGATGAGATTCACAAACGACATGTCACCAACTCTTGTTGCTCCAAACGTCAGAAGACGAACTTTATTCTGGGGGACAAGTTTTTTCAAAAGAACGGATACAACGGACATTTCTGCTTTCGCTCCACCCAGTGAATGTCCAATAAACTGAAAATTGCATTTTATTTCAGCAGGATGAAGAGCGACTAAGAAGAAGTAAGAGACAGAACTCCTCACCCATATTTCATAGTCATTATTGTTTTCCACAACCGCTTGGAGTGTCCTTTCCATTCCTAGGATATACCAGAGTTTGTACCAACTTTCATATAGAAACCTAAACAATTACTCAAGAAAGCAGTAAATTGCAATTCGTAAAAACTTTCGGAGAAAAGTTGCTTTTATTATGCTTGTAAACATGTGGAAGTTCCTTCATCAGCACTCTGATTGTAAAAAGAGAATTCTCAAGAGCTTTTTTTCAATGATTGCTCAAATATAATTTTTGTCTCAATTTATTCCTAGTCAGCAGTTAACAAGATTTTCACAGTGATCTGGGGCAGCAGGAGACCTTCGAAGAAATTTGCAGGGTAAGATATTACCTGTTCACGAGCCCATCTGATCCTTCGAACTGAGCTTGTCTGTTTGTGAAAAATTCCGCGTTGAAATGTGTGTAAAACTGAAATTTCGTTTTCTGATGCACTTAATTTCGTGTAACTCGAAAAGGGAGACAAGGATCTACGACAAACCTGAAAGAAACGTGAAATATTGTGAGGTTTTTAAGTCTCACATACCAGTTTATTTCCCGTTGCAACGCTTGAAAAAGATGCGATTATAGCGTGACTTGTGTAGTCAATAGCGACATAGCCATCTGTACGTTCGCCCTGTAATGAACAGTGGTGGAAGACTGGTATCATAGTTTACCTTTACTTCAATACTCATAAACGGCTTTACCATGTCCGTCCTAATGGCGAACCTCTTCAGTAGTTGCACATTCCCGGGTAGGGTGGAGATGCATTTCTGCTGCAAGCAGTGTGGATTCAAAAACGGGCAGTGGCCAGGATTTAGTTCAAGGTGATGCCAAATCTTGCCATTTCCACTAAGGTGCCCTGGGCGGCTGCTATGAGAGGAGTTCCAATGACACGAGCGAATGTTTCGTTATACTGCGTCTGAACAGGGAGAAGCAATGGTCGCGCTGAAACGACAAATAAAAATTACTGGACATTACCAGTGAAAGAAGCGGGCAATCTACGTGTTCCCTGTATCCAGTACGACATTTCACGTCTACGGAGACACATGAGTTCCATGTTGGACACCACCTGAAACTGAAAAAAATAATCCCTGCCCTTTGGAGGCACTCTTTCATGCATATGAAACGCCTGTATTCTGTGCTCTTCATATTGGTAAAGCCCCCTTCTTCAGTTGATCATTGCCTAAAAGGTGCTCTTAACTGACAATTGAGACATCCATACTGTCAACCATCACTTTAGGTAATGGGCCTTCTGAGAACCGAGATGAGATTGGATCTAAGAAGGCATTTGGCAACTTTCTTCGTTTGCCAATACCTCGACTTTACAACCCATCGTCCAAGGATGCAGGCACAACATCAGGTCGTGCCTGAGCTCACCTTCATGTTACTTACTTGTTACGTAGAAAACAGATCGCCAATGCTCTATCCTCATCATCCCTCCTTTTCCAGCTCTTTTCTATTTCAAGCTATTTACGTGGGAAAAGTCAGACTTCGAATCCAGAAGAGGTGCTGCTCGACGCATGAGAATATGCGGCTTTGTTTCTAAGGCGTTCTACTAGATTACTAGTCTTTTCTATACAGTACGACTTTGAAATTTACAATACCAATGCCGATTTAGGGATGAATTTGTCCACAGCTTCTTTTAATATAAGCGCTATCTGTGCCACCTCCACTGCCATTATAATCTGAGAAAATAACCTTTCTCCGAGTCTACGAAATTCCTAGCTTGACAGGTTTTTTGTAGACATAAAGGATCAGATTATTCTCATATGGCCTCTTCCCCAGGAATATTCAATCCAGGTGGCCTAACAGGCTTTCTTCTCCGGTGAAAGGTTTAGGAGAGAAATGAATTAGACGTCGGATTAAAACCAGATCTTGATTCAACTTGTACCAATGTTCAGTTTAGGGACAATTTGCGAAATTACAGTTCTAAAGCGCTCCATCACAAGGTATATGGCAGAATTTAGGGCCAGCTGACAAGATGACCATTACTGCGATCCTCCGGACCATGCGTCTGATATTGCGCCACTTGGCACTATGCAACCTCTGTCGCTGTGTAGCTTATGTAATCACTTGCGCCTTGAAAAGGAGATTCTCTCGACGTTCCTTGAACCATTTCTTTGCTTTCTCAGTTGCGATCACTTCGAAAAGGACTAGCATTCAAATTTTGAATGCCCCAGGTGATGTGGGATGCCTTCCATTACCCTGTCTTTTTTCTCATCTTTTACACATCACCTCCATAGTTTCAACTCTATCCCTCACCCTTAATTTAAGGAGTGAACACTCAAAGAAGACTTGTCAAGACTCCCTTCAAACTTGTTCAAGATAGCCTAGTTGCCCTATCCGAGAACCTTGGAGGATTAAGTTGCGACGCAAACTCTCGGGACACCTCGGTGAAATACCCCTCTCCTCATGAATTTTCTACCTCTCCTCTTTCATGGGTTAAAAAGTGAATCACGGTGATTTTGAAAGAATTGAGAACATCATTCACTCTCAAACAGAAAAACGCAAGTAGATCGCTCGATTGAGTGCAGAAGTCACTGTGCAAGTATGAAGGCAAAAGTAAAAGGCATTTCATAAATTGTGCTTTGCAATCACAGCATTTAATAGCTATTTTACCTTCATTTTCACTTTTCTCTCGACTGGTGCAGTGAAGAGCGACTCGGCACAACAGTCAGTGTTAAATGGCTGTGTAAATCTCGTTTCCAATCGAAATTTTATTATAAATCTTTATAGGTAAACACTGTGGTCCTTGAAACTTCTAAAGAAATAGCTATAATTCGCTGAACTCAGGGAAACTCGTACTTTGATCCCTAAAGGTCATTCATTTTTTCCTAGTAGTAAATTGTCTACGACATTTTTGCCATACGTACAAAAACCCCTTTCTGTAGACTGGTTTCCATAATTGTAAGGCCCACTCCACGCTTCAAAGTGCGATAAACAGAATTGGGAAGTGGCAGAAAAAGTTTCAGGTCCTCCGTTCATTAATCAAAATGGTGACTGGTAATCACAGCAATAGGAGGAAAGAGGCTCTCTATTCTTGTGAGTTACAATGAGCATAGATGTTATTGTGACTATTCACATCCTCGAGCAGAGGACGTTCGATGTTGACTAACTTCGTTTTCAGCTGAGTTACAAACTAAGCTTGTCCATAGTCCTCATTGAATATATGTTTTGAGAGGTATTCAATCGGTAGAGAACAAACTTTCTGCCATTCCAAATACCAATAGTCCATTCCAGAAGGGGTGACTCGACCTCAGCAGGCAGGATTGGATGCGAAATTTGTCCCTCGGGCTCTGAGCACTGTAGCGACGCCAGCTGCCATAACCTCACCCACTCCATTCCACTCACTTTTCTTTTGCAAATTTAACCCTTTTCTGTCTTGTCAGTAAGAGCTACCCATTTTTACCCATTTTGTGAGAAGAACCGGTGTTTATCGCAAGTATAGCTTTCAAGCGAACTATGAATGCAGAGTCAAAAATTCGCCTTCATACGTGTATGTCCAAAACTGCACAAAACCGCAGCTACCAGATTTAGTGGTTCCATCCTTTCTGTTACTTGGAGTTTGAAGCTTCGAGCACTTTCCCTCATGGTGCGACCCTTTCCTGTTCCAAGTAATCCGTACTAGAATATCAAATATGTTCGTAAAGTAGAAAAAGTTATCTTGCTTGATTAGAAGAGTGCATGGATGGGCAAGGAAGTTGTAAGGATGGTTGAGGAGCTGAGTCATTTTGAATACAAAAAAAGGTTGTAGACTGCTATATAATCAACACAACTAAAAGGTTTTTGAGGCCTGAAGGAAAAACTTTGTTGAAAGCAAAGGCTTCCTTTTTGCCACACGACAGAACCCGTTCTATCATCGTGGAAGCTGCCTCTGGGATCAGCGGTGCAACAAGGTTTCCTCTCTCCAACTACTGCTGACTTTCCTTACTAAATACCTTCAAATTGCGTTCAAAAAAAGAATTTTCATATTTGGAAAGCTGGTTCGAGATCAGAAGGGAATCATTCCCTTTGAGAACGATTGATTGCCCCTGTACGTTGGCAACATTGCGACATTGCCTTCAATGCCAAATACACTGTAAACCCTTTTCTTATACTACTTGAAAAAATAGATGTCGCAGGATTACTCATCATTTACGAAACAGTTTATCATCGTATCTCTCGTCCATCCTTTTTAATTTAGGTGTTTACTAAGGGTACGCTAGCGGATTCACGATGAGAGCTCACTGACAGGACGGACGACGATGGGCACCTGAAGGCCTATTATTTTTCAGAAAACTTCATATTGTTCAAGAAAAACTTCTTCAATTTGAATTTAAAATCATATTTTGCTTGCACAGCAGTCTGCTATTTTCGGGCTTTGTGATACTTATATAGACCTCGGTGGCAAGTGCCTTCAAGTTTCAGAGGTAGTATCAACAGATTTTCCAACAACAACAAAACGAAAAGATTCATTTCAGTGTTGAAATTCCCAAACTCTCTAAAATTATCGATAATCGAGAAGAACTTACACGCATTCTGTGAATTCACTGTCATGATGTCGTCCTGCACAGCTGTCGCAGGTCAAAAATTGTGAGCAGTACTGATCCTGGTAGCTGATCCCAGAAACACATGTGAAAATCGTGCAAACGAGCAGATGAACGAGCATAGCACTGCAATCTGCCTGAAATCACAAAATTATACGAATTGCTCCCGAGTTCTACCTTTTTCGACAATTATCTCGAAAACCCGTTTTGCCTTTTCAAATTGGTTAGGAGATAACGATTGGCAATGGTTCGTCATCAACGGAATACACAAAACAGGAATATTGTGCAATTTTAGAGAGAGATTACAAAAATAGAAGCTAAATGGCCCATTATTGAAGGCCTATATGGAAGCTGTATGGGGACCGTTCGGGGGCAAACATTATTTCCAAACGTCGCCCCGCCCATGACGACTGATGGAGGTCAACAGGATCGAGCGCCCAGGCAAATTGTCCAAGAAAACGTTCAACAAATTGCTTTCCAAAGCTGGCAGGAAGTCGATATGATGTATGCTGAGGTCGAGGACCCTACGTAAGTAGGGAAGGGGGAGGAGAGAGGGAACTCCTCGAAACTGCTTTCAAAATGGATGTTGTTAACTTGATCTCGAGCAACCGACCAAAAAGACCTCTAGTATAAAGCTATACAAAGGCTCGTTTTAGGTATGCCCGTGAAATGCTCGTCATAGCATAAATGGATACTGTTGCGAGCCCGAAAAAAAAACGAGAGGAAAAATTGTTTCCAGGCTTCTTCCTTAAAATTTTCTGAGGAGTCGAAATGATCCGAAGTAATTGATCCCCAGCACCTCTCGCTGATTGCAAGAAAGAAATGATTGTATAAGAAATAGAAAGGAGACAAAGGCAGACAAGAAAGGAGCAAAGCATGTTCTACTGAAGCAGATTGAATCAGACTACCCGATCTTCCTGATACTCCCACTTGGGTGTGGGTACATTCATCCAGTTTGAGGCGCGCGCGGCAAATGGCGCGGCAGAATTCGCGGTGATTCGAACGGCCCTGGCGCCTATCATTGAGACACAAGCTTTGAATTAGATAGTTTAGGAGGGTCTGCCGATCCTACTAATCTACTCTACTACAAATCTGTGCCCCAGTCATAGGCACCAGAGTCGTTCAAATCACCACGAATTCTGTCGCGTCATTTGCCGCGCGTGCCTAAAATTGGGTGAATGTTCCGTCCTCCTTCCCACTTTCACCTCCTTATCCGAAATTTTCGTTATAAATTCTAATAACAAATTATACCGAACTTGTATAAGAATTGAAATATAGTGACTTGTCTAATGAGAAACAGACTAACCAGCTTTCTCGAAGCGATGCAAGTAAGTTGGGAATGACTTATCTCCGTGAGGTTGGGTCATCTGAAGCGAGACGACACAGACAGGATGAAGAAGCACGATTTGACTAGGAACAGCAAAAATTGCAAGCAAACTTGATTGTTCAAATTAATGACGTATCCAGAGGATCAGGTTAAAACGGTAAAACGGTATTTAAGTCGTGGTTGAACACAGCTTTGGGTACAGCTTTAGGTGCAACTATTTAATGCACATTCCCAAACGAAATAAGAGCGTGACATTAAGTCTGGTTTTATGCTGTCCGTCACCTGTCGTAGAAAACTCTGTTTTCCTTTACCTGTAAGGCCTAGTTGAATCGAAAAACCAAGCAAATTAGGCAGGAAAGCGGAAAGCACTTTATCGGGTATACTTCGCGAACCTTTTTCGAACATTCAATGTCACTCTTTCAGCACATACATATTGCTCACTCACATAACTCGAAACGTCTAATCAAATGTAAAGAGTTGTAAAACGAGTTCCAACAATTTATCGAGTTCCAAAATCTGATCTTTTTACTCGCCGGGCTCTTCCTAGTAGAACAGACTGAAACGAAAACGCATTGCTGGCTCTGATAACTATCAATTTGAGGGGAACGTTTCATGTGAATGAATCACGTAAACTGTTTGTATTAAATTTCAGAAAAACCTTGAAATCGAAAAATTACGGTCAGAAAGGAATGAGAGATGATCTATGAGAAGTAGTTTTTCCCACCAAAATTCAAACATAAACCAAAAAATCAAATGAATCAAAGGTTTCTGTTTACATAAGCTCCATTACTCTCAGGACATTCCAGAGCAGTAGATTTAGTGGAGCGAAAAGAGAAAATGGTCTTCTCCGAGATGCCTTTCTGCCATTAACGTGGTTGGGCGCGGTTAACGGACGTGATAAATCTGCTCAAGCTAGACCGAGTTGCTCTTAAAATTAAGCAAAGGAAATAAAAAGCAGCCGATGCGAGTAAAACGGTGTGTCACAACCGTGAAATTGCCGAAGCTACTGCAGTTGTGTTTCCTAGAGAATGGTCGGAATTTTAGTGGAGAGTGCATGAGCTGAGCGGGACAGGTGAGTCGCCCACACCTGCCTGCTACAAGTCATTCAAGGGAACAGTAAAGCTCAGCTTACATGAGCCATGTGTGTTCAGATAAGCATAACTTGTCTAACGATGGGCACTGCCAGGCTAATTTGACTGTTTTCCAGTACTTATCTAATTACGAGCATAAACGCCTATGAAGGGGGGAGGTAGGCGTGGGCCCTTCAGCGAGTGCCTGTTTATAGAGCTACTCTTTATATCTGATACCAATCTTAGGTCGATAAGACAGAAACGAGTAATTTGAGCACCTTTTAGGGCCTTCCCGCTGTGCTTTGAACCCCATTCCCAATCGTTGAGATGGCATCTGTTAGTAATAGACGCTTTTAAGCAATTAAGTTTGACTGGTTTGGACTAGTCTTCAGAAAAATAATGCATGGTAGAAAATGATAGTCTATAGTAATGAGCAGGAAGTGGTAGGAGTGAGGTTAGTTATTTGAGATATCTTGTGATTGTGATCAGTAATGCAGCAGTAACTCAGAAGGCTGAAAAAAGGATGCATTTAGTATTTTTCATAGGTTGAAGAAACAGTTGAGAAAGGCGTAACAACGGCAAGGAAGGAGTAGGAAGGCACTGATTTGGCACAGCAATATTTACAAGTTAATAACAAGTTTGAAATAGGCATGCATTAATTTTAGTTTTCGGGCGGTCATGGTATACCATAATGGAGACCATTGCTCATCTAGGAGAGCAGAACTGAGCCTTATAAATTATATTTCATCAAAAAGTTATGAACTGCAATTGGATACTCCCTTACTTATATGTCTGCCCATTTTAGAACTTTCGGGAAAGTCATCTTTCCTACTTAATTTGCAATGCCAAAACTTCGAAGGCAGTTCAATTTAGGGATGGGCTAAACATAACATACCCACTTGGTTATTCCTATAGAGATTTATATTCATGAACTTTATGGCAATAATCTGTTCTTTGTGGAAAGGTTTAATGGTCTCAAGTAAAATTAATAGAAGAAACAGATCACACGCATTTCTCACAACGTATCAAACTATACTACTATAGCAGATTACTTATTACTAATAACTAATACATAAGGTTTGTTTTTATTCATACTCAAATCATCAGCAAAACTTATGAAAAAATTTCCATCTAAGTCATCTCCTGGTAAGAAATGAATATGCTATAGAGAGGCCATCTAGAATGACTTGAAAAGAGGTAGACTACGAAAAAACCAATATTTCCCACTACTTTCCCACCCACCTCCAGAGTCAAGTTTTCCCAAGAAGCCTCATAAAAATGAGCTTCTGTATATACTCTCCTTTGTTGTAGGAACAGTAGCATTCCGATTCTACCATCCTAGCAATCGAAGGAGTAAAGTAAAGCGGTTTGGATCACACAGTAGTAAATAATTGAGTACTACAAAGTTCCGGCGTAGTGTTTTTTGGATTACATTTAGGTTTCTTCTTCGGTAGTAGAAGTCCTCGAATGTTTGTTCAAGTATACTTGTAGAACTCATTGATTTTGGAACTGCCTGGTGGTAAATCCGTGAGATGCTGGATACACTAGTAACTCTGTCAGGACCAAAGATATTCTATTCATATACAGTTCTGATTTTTTTTGCAAAAAAATTGGGCAAACTGTTTATCTTTTGATTTTCTCATTAGTCTATGATCGATTAGAGAAGTGAAAATCTATATAAGGTAAAAGTGTGCCGAACGCTCAAAGAGCTAAACCGGATACGACAGAAAACAGAAAACGTCAAGACTGGGTGCTGGGTTAAGTGAAATTTTACAATTTCGACTGGCTTCTACAGTGCCAGAAAATTACAGTTACCTTGTTTCCATTTAATGTAAGGTTTCCGTGGGTTGGTTTCCCGAAATTGAACTCTTTTTGCCATTTATGTACGCTGACCTTGCGTCACAGTTCTTCACGAAGTGGCGTAAGCATCTCCATCGGTCAGGCAGGTATCAGACCGGCCGCCGACCTACCCAATTCTGGTTGGGATCACAAAAAGGTGCTAATCGCTAAGACATGATTAAAATCACCAATTACGTCTAGGAAAAACTTTTTCGGAAAACGATTTGATCTCAATGGAATCAAAATAAAAATTCTGCGATTGTGCGCAATTTCAAGTTACACAGATTTTAGAAGAACGTTTATTTTTCTAATAATTTTTTCGATCCAGGGCAGGGCACCTGCAGGGCACTTCATGTTAGACTATCCGATCCGAACATAAAAAGAATGCTTCCTTCAGGTGGAACAACTTCGTTTTCACTGTGATTCGTCTTATTTGGTGATTTCAAAAACTGCGATTCGCTAACGCTGTGAACGATATTCATGATTTAAGAGCTTGACGTGGGGTCTGGATAAATTAAGATACTCGTAGACAATAGCTGGTACAAAGATCACTAATTCTGAACAAGCACAACTTAATATTATTGTAAAGTTAAGAGTTAGGAGAGTTCAAAGGATGTCCTCATGTTTGATCCCTATTGATCAATGATCTGATATCTTTTGAATAGGCGGCTCCCATGCCCTAGTATTTTCCGTTTTGGTTGGATCACTGACAGTGACAGAATTAATGTAAATTGCAATCATTTGGGAGTAGTAGAAACTTCCAGGCAAAATGGACAAAAGCGGAAGGGCATAAGAAGCCCGTGGCCTAGCCAGCATAGGCGAAATGAAGTCCAGGAATGACATGAACTATGAGCACGGAGAGTGATCGAACAGTCTCGTCTGATTCAGCCTTGGAAAAGTGGTAGTTCTGCAGAAAGTGGAAGATGTCAAGATAAAATATATTGCGATAAAACGGGTTTTAAAATTTCATTTCAAATGATATGCCACGAATAATCAGTAGAAAGCACAATTCAAGTAGAAGAAAAATAAAATATGATCAGAACTGGCAACATGAAATATCTCACAGGAAAGGACTGGTGGATGGAAAGACATTGAAGTTACGAGAAACGAATTCAATAGTCACGAAAAACAAGTCCGAACATCTTTTTGTACTAGTACAGATACACTTTTCGGCTGCTATAAAATCTCCAGGTTCAACAGTAAATGGCTCATAATGAGCCTAGCTACAACAAAGATAACGAATTGCACAAGCATGATCTACTCGATAGAATCAAGACCATCAGAAAGACAGAGGTTAGCCGGAAATTGGCGAAAAATGGCATGAATATGTACAAAATGGGAAGATGTCCAAACATGACTGACATGGATATGCAGGCTTTTAGAGGTAACTCAAAAGAGTTCAAAAAATCAAAATACTAGCGGACGACGCTAATCATATCTGTGAAGCTAATAGAAATAAAAAGGAATAAAATTTGTCTCTAGTGACAGAGATGCCATCAGAATTATGGTCGATCGAGCTGACAGAGTGATGCTTTCTGGAATGCGCCAACTGGGAGTATTGAGTTGATCTCCAGTTCCTGAAACCGTAAAAAAACATTTATTTTCATTTGTGTGACCTTACAATGTTTACAACAGAAACTTCTTCGCCGAAACTTGTATGACCTTGATTTGCGTTGATTTTTAAAGCGAATTCATTAGAATCACAGCGTCAAATCTTCGTATTATTCACCCTTTACTCTGGGTACAGCTCTACATAGAAATAGTTCCCAGATAGCATTTTCATCCAACTTTTGAGTTCAATTTAATGATCCTCGCGTGTTCCACAACTATATCTGTACGTACACGAAATCTTCATACTATTCGATGAGTTCCCACGATGTGAATTTTCATTTTCACGTTTTCCCCGTTATGACTAGATATTGACTCACCACGCAATACTGGAAACTAAACTTTGCAAAACCAGTATTTATAGAACAAAATTAATGAAACCGGAATGCCATCATCTCTACATTGCAATGGAGAAAGGCTGTCTTGAGCATGGAATCAAGCTTTTTCAGAAATCAGAATAGCGCGAGCTCTTTTGAGGAGAGATTCGGTAGGTCGGAAGAGAAACACAAGCGACAAAACGAGATCATGGCGGGTGTACCACGAACTTGCGACGCATCTTCCTGGTTTTTTCTTCAGTTTTTGCTTTTTATTTTTTTTTTTCGCGATTATGATTCCTACCATTTTTTCACCGGTGTTAAGTTCTTGGACCCAATTTCGATAGGTCATGATGAGAATCATGTTAGTGAGCAGATCGTTACAGTGCTTGTGCGATTTTGATCCTGCTCCAACACTCAAGAGTCTAAGAGTGATCGTTATGATATCAAGAATTGAGAAGGATGAGAAGGAAATGATGAGTGGGACTCTTGATAGTACGGCATATTGTTACCTAGAGGTTCAACACGTCTATTTTGACATTTTTTCCTCGTCGGTCTTGCTCTTTTGAAGGCTTCTTCCACTGGGAAAGCGAGGCAATCAATTTCTGTCGGTTATCAGGTAATTATGGGATTATCAGAGCCACTTAGATATATTGTTCTTCCATGTGTTTTATTTATTTCGAAATTAAGATGACATACAGTAATGTTAAGCATTCTGTTGTACTTTGAAATGGGTACCTCTGCTGACTAGATCCATTGCCTTTCTGGAGATGTATCCCTTAATAATTTGCGTGATATTTACATTACTAAGCAGTGAAGCATCCCGATTCTAGGCCACGATGAGGAAACCCAAGTTTGCCAGGAATTGACATGCCAGGACAAAGGCATTTTTGGACAACAGATAGGGGCACATTCAAATTTTGAAGGCACTTCATTCCTTCGTGCATTCGACTGAGAAATGATTTAAATCAAGCATCGATTAGATGAAGAACAGTACGTGAACTATATTTTGTAACCAGTTTTAGTTTTTTCTTCTGTTCTCATTTTCGGAAACAATAACTATAGAATCACTGAACGTAAAAAGTCCGAAATCGACTAATCGATGACCAGTCATCTCGAGTCAAACGGAGCGATAGAAAATTCACCAGGCGGAGCGACCCGTGCAGGCAACTTCTTACACTTTCGATTGTAAAAGGTCTGATGAGTGAGCCGTGAAAGAAATTGTACTGAGAAAGTGATAGATTTGAGCGAAAGTTATGTTGCAAATTGTAGTTCTACCAAGGGTGGGTATCCAGTTACCTACCGAGTGGTTCCGTGGTTGTAAAAAATGTTTTATGATGCTCAGCCTATACTGCGTGGAAATTCAAACTAATAATTCAATGACAAGTGGAAATGACACTTAAAAACATCTGAAAATCGTTTTAATTATTTCTCAATCGGGGAAAGTGCTAGGGAGTGGAGAAATGAGCTCCGAAAGGGAATTCACATTCGTGTGTGGCGAATTGGGATTATGCGTTGAGTATTTTCAAAAAAAATTTGTTTGGGGTTGGTTAATTGTTCTGGAATGCGCCATGCATTTTGCACGAATTCCGAGGAACCAATATGTATTTGCCTTCCATAATGCACCATTGATCAATTTTGACTTTTCATCGATTTGAATAAATTTTTTTCAGCTTGAAGAGATTTCAAGAATGAACGTAGTTCCTATTTATGGGGAAAGGCTAGAGAAGTCATAAATGAGGCCGCCATTGCAAGCCCATAGGGTACACGGCAGTAAAGATGAAGCCTTGACCAATGGATCAAGAATGCCAGAAACAGATTTTCTCTCAGAAACCGATGTTGATGGATAGAACATTTTCTTTCTACAACGTGCATATTCACGAGTTTAAGCCTTGTATACTGCTGCAGTGCTCTCCCCTCACAGGAAAGGGTCAACAGATGCCAACGGGAATTTTTTTTTGCTCATGAGACACGATCGGTCCGTGACGATCTGATATAACCGAGCCTCCTGACCAAGTTCCCCCTATATAGCCGAAGACATAACCGTTGTAGGCACTCACAGTTTTCATGAACTCGGACACGTCATCGAAGAACCGCCGATTGAACTCGTCCGTATTGCGAGCAAACGCGTGATACGACCTGTAAACCATTACGTCCATATTTGCACAGCACTATCAGTGATAGAATGTGGACATGTAGGATGATCGTAGTGATTTCTGGAAGTCTCACCTGCAAGCGTTTTTACCCGAAGTCTCAGAGAAAACCATGTACTCGTATCTTGTTTCCTCAGCTGGACCAGATTTCACCAGGCACACTGAAGGAAATGTTTTGGACCAGTCACAGACGAAATCAAAAAGGGTGAAAAATCATACTGTCAGTGTGGTATTTGTCGGTATCCATCTGGAATATATTATCCTCCAATGAAGTGACACTGCCATACATCTGAATGGATATATTTTAGAAAACGGTTGCGTGTAAAAGTATGAGAACTGGAATGAATTTCAGTTCTTGATTACCTCATGAAGCTCATTTCCTTCGGCATCGTCCCTGTAGTACATATTCAATTCTGCTGAACCCTTGTAATAATGTCCAACTGAAAATGACTGATGAGAATTTCAGGTACACAACATTCAGATACCTAAGTATCTAATTCAAATGGAATTTTTTTGAATATGACGGTCCGGGTGTATGGCGCAACACTCGATGAGACTAGCTAGTTGCCGCGCAGAGCACCTTGCCTTACTTAGTTTGCCAATCCCAAAAGAATATTTCCGATTTTGCTCCTATCTCCCGTAGAACCGATCTCCCTACTTTGAAACTGTGCGTTCCCAACATCAAAAATCAGACAAGAACCTTCTACTGCCATTCTAGTCGCCTAACAGGTCTCGGTTCAAATCCAAAGGTACAATATTGAAGTCATACTTTCAAGTCCAACACACGCCGTTTTCTTTGAACTAAATGTCATCTTTCCATTTGTGGATCGTGCACTTTCAAGGCTCATAATGGCTCCGAACGTTTGTCGAATAACGTTTGGATTTCCATACAACTGAAAAACGTCCATTGCTTGCTGCTGCTTACAACAATTTGCTTAGGGCTTACAACAGCTTTCACTTTTCTCTGTGAAAAAAGTGGGCAGGAAGAAGAGGAAACGTTGATTCACCTGAGTCCATCCGCCTCTCATCATTGTGATATTATGAGGAATACACTGTGGGCAGCTCCCAGGGTAAGATGTCTTATTCGAAGTCTGCTTCGAAGCTGATCGATGATGCGATTGCGGTGATCGCATTTTGCTAAACTGATTTAATTTATTAGCTCAGTAACACAAAACTAAAACTGCTAAGCGGTTCAAGCTCTTGAAGGTACGGCAGGCTCTGCAAGGGTGCGTACCGCCAGTTTATGTCAGTCAGTAAGGCGGCGACAAAAAAATTTATGACGTTCCGTTGGGACAATTTGCCTCAACCATGGCGGGAAGAGCAGCTCGCGACTTTGCCGCGCGGGAAATTCGCGTATTGCAATGTCCTAGCCCATCAGCGCATACAATTTTCCATTTATGCAAACATTTCCATTATTCTACACCGAATGTTATGGAAAGCTTTTCCTAACAGACTACTTCGCTTGGAATGAAAGCTGACAGAATCAGGAGACATCTGGAACCAACCTTCTAAAAGAGTCCATCGTTTTGAAAACACCTTTATCGATTGCCGATTCCTTGTTTTCTGATAGAACCTTCTTCAGCGCTCTGAAAGTACCAGTTTTTTTTTCAATGCCACTGATTCAAGTAACGCTGTTGTCGTTACCAGTACCTAAGGGTTTCCCGCTCTTCAATTGTCAATTCACTTGCTTCGGCGGGCAGTTCAATTCCATACTTTTCCTTGAAGTACTCCCTCAAATGCTGATCGTTCGTAATAATGTCGTCATCGGTCAGCCCTTGAATAAGCATTTTAATTATCCTCAAAGCCTAGTTTCACCTGTAATTTGAAACTTTAAAAAATTTGATCTTGACGTACTTCGCTTCGGTGCGCTTGGTTCGTGCATTTTCACTCCCTTAGCTCGGGCAGTCAGTACCTATAGCAGTATAAGTCAGGCTCATATTTAGGAGTAGTCTCGAGAGAAGAAAGAAAGCGAGGTTTTTTCTATGTTTTCGATAAAGTGGGAGCCTGTCGAGGAAGGCGAACAGTAAAGCAACCACGAAATGCGGAAATCGGAAGGCTATGGCTAACTCTTTTGCCTAAAGTTCACCTTCTAAAAATTGTTGAGGTCACAAGAATTTGAAACAAACCCTTCCTCCCACTGTATTATCGTTTCCGAGTGAATCACTTCGCCCAAAAGACGACTGAACCTGTTTCAGTTGCTCGTTTATTATGTCCTGCTGCTGTTTCTGCATGAGCAGCTGAAAAAAGAGTTTCTGAGGAACAAGGTCTACTAATAAATTGCCATTCGTTATCGTTCTCCTATCTCTTTTCAACAAATACTGAAAATCGAATTCTGAGGGGGAGAGGGAACGGAATCTTCCTTTCTCCATTTCTGTAACTTACCGCAGCCCCAGCCTGATGATCGATCATTGATTGTTGGTAACGCCGTTGTTGATCGAGATACTCCAGTTGTTTCGCATTGTAACGAGTTAATTCAGACTGATGACGGGCGAGTTGCTGTAATAGGAGGTATCACGATGTCTTCAATGAAGTACTGTATTGAGTCGGACTTACTGCCAGATACTGTTGATTTCGTAAGGCATTTATAGCCTCAGGTGTGCCATTTTCACCGCTGAGGAGCAATGGCATGGCTGGTACATTCAATCCCGTTTGCGACATGCCACTTCCCATTCCACTTCCCAATTCGCTTCCCAGTACGTTTCCGATCCCGTTACTGCTCACGAACTGGCTAGAACCGGATGACTGCTGAAACGGAAACGATATTGAACGTCCAAAACTGAACCCTAGTGTCTCATTACCGGAAAAGGCTGCTCATAATGAGATGGTGATGGGTAACTTTGCCGAGGAAAAAGGAAAGAGCATCTCCGGAGCGGTTTGTTCCGAGGAAATATTTGATTTTCAAGGGGGTTATGCCATATTGCCCCTTAAGCACACACAGTTCAACGAACATGTTCTGAGTTGTGTACCACCGTGATGAATGGACCTTTAATCCTTTGTAATGGCCATTCGGCTGTGAATCCAGATTTGACACAGTAGTCCTCGCCTCGAGCAAGACCCGGTCCAAAAGGGGGTGTGTGGCGCTACCATGAACCTGATTCTAACAAAAAAATATTTAATGAATTACCTGCAAACTCGGGTAGTAGGACTGCGTTTGTGGTGGATACATCCCCGTATTTTGTCCACCTGATTGTGTTATTTGTGGTATAGCGTTGTAGTCCTGAGCAACTTGCATTGCTGGAACAGGTGATTTTTCTCTGACAAAGAATCCTTATATGATGATTTCGGGCTGCCAAGAATGTATCATGCCATGGCCGGGAATTAAAAAAAGAGAACGATATTGAACTCACGAGAGTAGTTGTCCAAAGTTGGTTGCAGCGGTGAAACAGGTGCACGTCGGACCTGCAAAAAACCAAGTTTGCGAGTAAAAAGCCTTCCGAATTGCAGACTTTCAATTAGAAGTTCCTTAATTTAAAAAGCAAGCTGTCCAGTTTTAGTAAGCGCAGTAGACGTGTTCTCAAGAGAGGGCTTCTTTTTTGGACGGTTGCCAACAAGAAGGAAAGCACCCACCAATGGGAGAGAGCATCACCAAGTGTTTCCACCCATACGCCTGTAGCGAATAAAACCTCTGAGGCATTTATTCACCTTGGATAATAGTAATTTCTAAAGCTAATGTTCTGGAGTTGGCGTTTTCCTACTGTAAACAAACTAGTACCAATCTAACCATTCGGTAGCCGATAGAGGACACTTTCTCATTTGAAGGATACGGTAGGCTTCGTTTAGAAGCTCAGTCCCTAACGAACCTCTGGAGCTTTCTTTTCCTGTCGATCGATTTCGGGAAACATCGACTTGACGAAAGCGCCTGCTAGGTTGACAGCTAATCGATCTACCACTGAAAAGGAAGAGAAAATCGATAATTCCAGCCATGTCGCAATAGCATAAATTCCTTTCCAACATAGCAACAAAGTGATAGGCTGAAGGAACGAATGCTCACTTTTTTCACTTGCTGATGTCGTGGTTTCCTCTTCCTCGCTGCTGCTTTTATGCTTTTTCGCAGAGGCACAAAGGAGCAACGTGAAAACGAGTATCTTCATCTTCTGCGACATCCTAACAATAATGCTTTCTTCAGTAGTGGCTTGAAATGGAATAGAATAAAGCGAAGTAGCTTATACAAAGGACAGCAACAGAAAAGACGGTATATTAATGTTATAAGACTTTTTTAAAACCTGCTGCCAAGATATTAGATAAGTTCTTATCAACTTACGTTTCGACGTAATCGCCTTCTTCAGGGTCTGGGAACCTGTGTGTACACATCATATAATACACAGGTTTCCAGGCTCTGAAGAAGGCGATTACGCCGGAACGTAAGTTCATAAGAACTTATTTAACATCTTGGCAGCAGGTTTTAAAAGCCTTATAAAATTAATGCAAAGCTATACCAAGATTCATCGAGAGTCGAACATGGATGCTTATGAAAGACGGTATAGTAACAAAGTAAGATAAAAGTAAGTTAGTGCTGAGTTGTGCTACCATTGAACGCATGGTAGGGAGCCGAATCCTGGACCAACTAAGCCTTCTAGTCCGCGTAGTCGATTGCTGGTTGGTTCCAATTCCGCCTATGAGCACAAAAGCAGTAAATTTCGCCCAAAAGGCCTCGAAAAGCCATTCTTCATTCTCCCACAAAGGCCCCTACGGTACAATATGTGAAAGTAATCCGTAGAGTAGATCAACGAGAGCAAAGTGTATGGTAATACTATGATTTTAGAACAACAACTGAAGGAAAAATAGCGAACCTATCACTAAGCTAATCGGGCTAACCAGATAATGCAATTTTTCTAAAACTTCAATTGGGCCGCAGATTTCCGCAAATGTAACAGGCTTTTCATGTCAATTGACAGCACTTATCATTGCCACGTAAAGTAAGTTTGAAGTCGAAGAATTGGCGGAACCTGGAAAGGACTCAGAGAACAAGTACTGTGGCCATTGGGATTAGGTTCAAAGATAAAGGTCAGTTATATTTCATGTTGCTATCACACACATCATACAAAGGGAAACGTCGGCGAGAGCGAAAAGGGGGGCACTCACGTCGGTCCCATGTGAGTGTTGCTGTCTGACCCCTTTTCGCGTAATGCAACTATCTCTGGACTATTCCCAATCCGAACTATTCCTGGCTTATCACTGATGGATATTCGACGTGAAGCACTCCATTCTACCACATAAATCGGCGCCATCATGGCCGATCTCATATATGAAGTTTATTTTCGTTGAAAATCTTTAAAGGTGGTCGCTAGAACGATGACAGGATGGGCAAGATTTGAGATGCTACATTCAGATGAACTAAAGTGCATTCGCAAATCGACGACAACGATCAGAACGAGGATCAAATCGCCTACGAAAGGGAATGTAGACGGCATTCTTCCACCTCTAACAGTTCCGACACGGAGGTTATACACGAGGCTACTAGGTAAGCGCGTTGACCAAGCCTTCCATCCGGCTGGTGTTGGTGAATTGGTACCACGCTGGCCTGGGAGGATAAAAGCACTGACTTGTTCATCGACTGTAGTAAGCCACTGCATACGCCACTACGATTTGAATGTGGAAGTCAAATACGGTGATACATTCCAAAGGCAATTGACACGTCAAAGGCCCTACCCCTTACCCTTTCATTTGTTATGCCCTAGATTGCACGTTTTTGCATCAAAAACTGATAAGGATTGGGTTTATTTAGATTTCTAATAAAAATTTCTATCACACTGCATGGCTATTGGTCTGATTGTAACTTAGTCAAATTCATATGGGAGGATAAGGCCAATGGGTAAGAGTCTGTTGCCTCCAACAAATCATAGTGCAGCCAGGCACAGGTCCGATCGAAACCGAGTATTATCCAACTTACTTTTTTATACACATTACTGGCACGTTTATTTTTACTTGACATAGTATGTATACGAAACAAAGACAAGATGTGCAAGGTGGGGATTTCTCATTTAATGGTAAGGCTAAATCATACATACATCATGAAAGCTCTAATTTTACAACCCTACCAGATAAAAAACAATTTCATACGAATCCCCAACTAGACAAGAGAAAACATTGAACATTATATACGTGCTCTATTACAACAGTGACCCGGTGGTATCTAAGAGGAGATGAAATCATGAACAACGAATGTCTGATTATTGAGGATAAAAAAGAAAAGAAGCTTCAGAAATCGACCACCACTGAAGAAAAAACATCATAACTGCATCACATGTTGGACACTTTGATTAGTTGAGTGATGCAAAATAGCGGGAACGAATCATACTACAGTAACTACACGATTACTACAGTCACCCAAAAAACCCCCCGAAAGCAAACATGCACATTCAACTTATTAATCAGTGAGTATAAAGAAATCAGTACAGTAGTAATCAATTGTTTGTCATAGCGATTTAGACAGAAATAGAAGCATAACAACATTCAATAATAATTGAGCATAGCATGCTAAAGATCAGTAATAAGATAATCAAATGTGTTTCGATGGATAATCAGGGGCCATTAGACCACCCAGTTTTTCCGCATTGTACAGGTTCTCATGTGGGCCGTCATCAATCATTCCTGGACTCGTTGATTTTGTTGAATGACTATGTCCTTGGTTGTTATAGGACATCTAAATATGATTTTAAACAGAACAAGGTGAAAATGAACAAACAAGGTGAAAATGTAGCCTTCGAGGGCCATTCGTTTTTGTGCCCTCGTTTGCCCTCTCACATTGAGATGGTGTTTTTTAGCGATTCCTCCTCCTTGCCTACACTTTGCAGGGGAGCAACATTTCATGCACAACGGGACTCCTGCTCTTCTTAGGCCAAGTAGTAAGCAGAAATGCTACCCCCATTATGATCTCCGGGTCTAATTCCAGGGAAACGAGTTTCTCTCCCGAAATCAGCGGGTCCGATCGTCTGATTTGGTATCGCTTCTCTCAAAAAAATGCTATTAACGGACTGTATTCTGCGTGACTTTCACAAGTTTACATTTTTTTTGATAATTTTCGAACTCGTAGCATATCCCACAGGGTAACGAACCGTTAGCCCTCTTATAGGCAACAAAAACGATAATATGGCCAGACGTGTGACCCTGGGCTACAGTGGGTCGGAATCTGGAATAATAAAAAAAATGAAGCACCTGTTCGAGGTAGTCGGTGAACAGCTTTGAAGTGATCTCACGAGCAACTATGGCACCAGCATGCCCTTCGATGAAACGTAACAACAGAATACCATCTGAAATAATAGAAAATGACAGGCGCACAGAGGCACAGTAGGAAGTTAGTGTTAAAATACTTAACTCTCATAACAGGCTTCTCACTAATAGCCCCTTAGAAAAACAAGAAGTTGAAAAATCAATTTATTGATGTTATCAACAGTTGAACAAATCGCAAACCTGGGCGAAGTGCTGCATGGGTGAAGCGGCGCATAATGTGCTGATGGCGGAAGCCGTCTGTTGTGTCTTCGCCTCGACACGGTCCAGATAGCCATGCCTTTGTCGATTTCTCCCGGAATGATGTGAGAACCAACTGTAGGAAGCAGTAACAAAAGTTAATTGCTGTTGATATAGCGACAAGTAAGAACCAGAACCTGAACAGAGCCGACATGAGCGGATTTCCTTTCAGAAGGCATAATCACCACAAAGATATACTGATCAAACCTACCAGATGAAAAGGTAAATCTTCTCGTTAAACATGTTAATCATTAATACACATTGTACAGTGTATTTATGAGTATTGGCTAGACGACGAATCTTGAAATCACACATGGTTACACGTGGGAATACTCCAGAATCCAACCATTCCCGTCCATTCCAAAGATCGCGGAACGTCTGAAAATATCGCCCGTTATGTACCTAGCCCTGAACGGAGCCCTTTGACTTGTTCCACACAAATAGCCTGCCGATCAATAAAACCACCCATCACCGAATCCGCCTCCACGAGGAGCCTAGGTCTTTCCGGTGGCCACATCCCCTGCTTTTACTTGAAAAGCAGTCAACCAATGCGCTTTACAACCGACAGTTTCTCGAAGCAACTAGTAAGAGCTGATTACGGTGAAGCACGACACCGGGAACAGCTGGTGGACCCAACTGACCCATTCGATCCTCCTGGTACAGCGGCAGCCTTAAGCGGCTCCCATTAATGTGCATCTGGCCATCTTGGATCTCTGGCTGTCAAACTTTTCGGGTTACCCTCAGACTAAATCAGTTCTCACCCAGAAGAACGAATTCTTCCTAGGACTCTACATCATAGGGATCCCTGAGACAGTGAATGTAATCATTATGCACCCCAAACGTTAAAGCGATTAAAGTGAATGTACAAGAAGTGAAGCTCACCTGAAAGCCCCAGAAGGTGTAGTCACTGCCCAAAAAGTTATTCAGAATATAAAATTGCGTGAAAATATTGACTAAGTAGAGGAACTTCACGAAGAGATACAGCATGGATACGTAGGAGCCCAGCCCATGGCCGAATCTGAAATCAAATCATTTTACTAGTGGGCATGGGTCATACTTTGTAGCTCGCAAAGTTTTTGGGAAGTCTGGAAAAAGACTGTCGAGCCCTGGCACTACAATTCCGAATCACACTGAAACTACGTATAAGATGGACTATTCACCTGAAACAGAACAGACGGTATGGTGTACGCCGTTCACTCTGGAATTCCAGGCATTCTTCAAGATACGTGGCCAGCTTTCCTATTTCCTTTTTTCGATCACCTCCGGTGATCTGCCTCAACTTCCGTGCATCCTCTATAGCCGTGTTCAAATCGATCCCTAAACAACACTAGATTCCAAGGATATTCGAAAAATGTGAAGTATTCGATCAGTATTTTGGAGTATCTACACCTAATTCGAGCAGAAATGGAACAGAAAACGAAACAAATCTTTCACGAAGTGACCGCTTTGTGCACAAAACGAGCATATCTTTTTACAAAAAGATTAAATTCATGGTGAAGAAGAGGTCCCGTCCAACAGCCTTATAACAGGAAGTCAGGTGTTACTATATGAAATCTTCAGGAATGATACGTGTTTTTTTTTTCTTATACTGAACTATTGGGAAAAAGAGGTATCGTTATTCGCCCACTACAGAAATGCATCTGACAAAAACTGACCGCTTTGTTGATGAAGTGTCTTCCATATCCAATTGGGAAGATAGAACATGATCGCTTGAAGCGCCAACACGATGGGCACCCATTGGTAATAACCTATTTCAGCCTGAAAAAAAAAGTTTTCAATTGTATCAGGTTTCCCAGAGAGGAAAAAAGAAACAGGTTCCCAAGACCTATTCCAGGATACGGGCGGAAAAAAATCGCACACCGCTGCCGCCTGAGTGCTTTGAGCATGCCCGATTATTCCCCCCCCCCTNCCCCCCTCCCCTCTCCTACTCCCCTCATACCCCTTTTGACGGGCTGGGCACCTCGATTTGGGAATCCTATCGAGTTACTTGCTTATGCGAGTAAAGACGTCCACCAACTGGGCAAGCGATAGGCGTGGAGCAGCTGGATTGGATGGCTAATAACAATGGCAGCCAAGCTGACAGGTACCTTTGACTTTTTGGGCAAGTCAAGCTCAAAAACTCATCCCACATAACCAGCATAACCAGGCTAACCTACACAGCCTTTCTATTTGCCACTTCTTAGATTTTGCGTAACCGAAAAATGCAATTCACTCCTTTCCCTCCACCCCATTGTTTTTTGAGGATCAGGGACAGATTCCTGGCAGTAGACCCTTGTGTCAATAAATACCGGCGATCGGGCCCTCTCAAAATATTGCACCGTTTCCCTTCACGGAAACATGTGAAAATGACCTCAGCGAGATAATAGTGCAAAAGGGATAAGACAAAGCTATCAGCAGTAATAGCCAAACACTGTGAAGGTCAAGAGGTGCTTCTTTCAAGTACTCGTTCGACATAAAGCCGTCGATTTCATGGTATGGGAGGCCGTACCATAACAACGGCCTTCAGTGCGAAACGGCTGTACCCAGCCAGTTCCCAGCCCAAACGACTCGAGTGGTGCTGTGGACGCATCAGGTTGAAGACGGTGCCCCTCTGAAGTGAGATCTCTAGAGAATCTGTCACCTTTGAGCGATCTTCGTCATCAGCAGGAATCTCTTCATGAAATGGCACAAAGAATGTGTTCTGAATGAAGCAATAGTCTTCAGCGTATTGCTCCCATCCACCTTTGAATTCCATAGGCATCCAACATTGAATTGGAGAGCCGACATACCTGAAGCACATTATTTTATGCCTGTTCTGAAAAAAGGTAGAAGAACATATGGCAAATGTGAAGAAGATGGAAAAAGGTAATGTAGTCAATAGGAAAAAAATTTCAGAAAATTCTTATATTAAAAAAATAAATAGATGAAACTCTTCAGAATGCCTTGACAGTTCATTGCCCACTTACCGACGGTACTGAGGTACTCCTACAAAGTCGCTACTACTGAGCAGAGGAACAGTGTTAAGGGCTACTGTCGGCAATCCGGAAGGAAAAAGACCGAATTTGCTTCACAACGAAAAAAGTGCCGAAAATAGGGTTTTAGGGCGGGGCATGGACGATGGTTACTGCAGAAGGCTGCAAAATGACGCACGCCGGATGCGACCGCCGCACGCGGCGGATTCTTCCCCTCACCGGCTTTGCTTAACAGCGCGGTGAGCGGGTCGACGAACGGTGATCGCCTATAGGCTAATGGGAGTAAAAATACGTTGGTGGATGAACAACTACGCTTAAATCGGAAGAAAGAAAATACAAAAGACATTAAGAAGAATGCTCATAACGGGAGGGCTTCGTGAAAAGGCGAAATACCAACACATGGCTTTATTGAGCGAGCTCAAGCAGTAATTCTCAGTGCACAAAATTACATCGACCACAGCATAATGCAAAGTGCTTGGATAATGTCAAAAACGGTCGAAATATAATGCCAGGCAATAGCCGGTAAAGCTTTGACGATCGATACAGCAATCGATCGATTTTGAATGACTGTGCAGAGCCTGGCATTACTTGCTCAGCTGCTCCACTGCATCAGACTATACAGAACGTTATCTAAAGGGATGTAACTGGCTTGAAAACCGAAATATGACTTTATCAGATATACTGGAGCAGTATGAAAAGTACGACTGACTGAATAATCAAGAACTTCGATTGGAATACCGACCCGAGCTTTTTCGCAAAACGTGGCTGCATAAGAGCAATATCCCTTCCAATTATGCCCAGGCTTTTAGGGTGGTTGGGGTACTGAGAAACACGAAACGTAGTTTAGTGATCAACCCTCAGGGCCAAAAAAATACTCATGATTGTATCATACTTGACCCTACTTCCCTTTTGTCCGAGGGAACAAAAAGCGGGGTCGAAGAAGAGAGTGAAAGGCAAGCAGTGGGATAGATCCCTCACTGTCAAGTCGGTGATCTGGGAAAACCCCTCTCTTCAAGATCTAAAATTCGACAGCGACTCTTAACGACTACCTAGGTACACGAATCGACTAATTGTAAGAATTTCTGAGGGCTCCTCCCTCGCATTCGGTAAACCCCTTTCATAAAGTTTTCTACAAACACTAGTTAGTACAAAGAAGAACTTATGGCTCCCTCTACTTCAGCCAATACTTGTTTTTACCATTGTCATTTACTCCACGGACAAATCACCGGCGTTGCCAGTCTCGATGAGAGAGCATTCGACAGGTCCTAAGTGGCCATGCACTAGCGACAAAACCTAGGTCATCGCGCATGCCGATTATCAAACCGATATTGTCGTTGAAGGGCTCTGATTAGGGCTCAAAATGTCGTATCGGACCAAGGTCCCCTCAACGTCCAAAACTTATATGCCTTCACCAGAAGTGTCCGAATTCATCTGTATTCAATGAATTCTTCACAATGCTACTCGCCATTTAAGAATAGAAAAGCATAACTACCGGGCACTACGGAGCCTGGCTGTCATCGAATTTTGTATTAAATCTATAAAACCTTCCCAGTGGAGAAAGATTTTAGAAGATTCTCAATGGATTAGCCACCCTCAAACTCGAATTTTTGTATCGCAGTTTTGGGAGCCGCCAGCTTTCAATACCATCTTTATAATAATCGACCGATAGTAACATTGTTGTAGTAAGAGTCAAGAGTCTCAGTGTCAGAAACACTCTGAGTAAATCACACAAAACCCCTCCGTTCAATATCCAACTGATCATCGGGGAGGGGGGGGGGGGGTCATTAATGAACAGACAAATATCCCAAATTATGAAAACTACCGCAAAGCTCCCATATGAATGAATTCGGGTGGTCTCTTTTCTGTGCAGCATCACATCCCACGTTTCAAGCGGTTTTTTGGTGTCTCCCTTCTTTGTCCTTTTTCTCGACCATCACTCAAAAACTATCCGCGCCCTTTTCCCAGCAAAGTCCTCTTCAGTTTAAAAATTACCGTAAGATACGATTATGACATAGAACCCAGTTTTTGAATATTGAGGGGTGCGTGAGGGAGGGGGCTAATCTTCATCAAGAACCGAATGTCAAGATTGAGAGGACCATATGGCACAACAAAGCCTTCTCTGCCATCGTTCAGGTCAAACAAAGGAATTGTTGAAAAGGTATAAAGGCTCTGCCGTAAACTGCTAGTCAACTTCACGTAGGTGAGCATATTTGTCTAGGGAGAGCGTCTCGCACCATTGGTGCATCCTCTGGTGACCCCGAATGGCCCATATGGGAGCGCGGAGGTGTGAGCTTAAGATGTACACACAGCCTGATTCCCATGAACACATTAACCACCATAAGCCGGGAAATTGTTCAGAAAGTTCTGCGGAATTACTCTTAAGGTAATGAAGAAGACAAGTCACTGTTCGAATTTGAGACTTTCAAGTAGTTAGATACTGCTTCATAGAAAAGTTCGAGTAAATCTGGTGGCAGTCAACGGGCTTAGAAGCCTCTAAAGTCAATGTAGTGCGCTTTTGTTCGCAGAAGCTTCAATAATACGCAAATTCTTATTTCTAGTTTTCTCGAACCGCTTCTTTATAATCGAATTCTGCTGAGCCCAAGGTGGTCACGAAGAATTTGTGGGGTCCTTCAAAGACCATAAATCGGAAGCAGCCCAATTGACCACTCCATACTAACCTCAAAATGAAGCTGCGCAGTTATCGGACATCAAATCTGCTTCGAATCAAAGCTTCACGATAGTTTTCATCTCTTCAAAGGCGTTTTATGCGTTCAAAGCTACGAAATGGCTGTTCATTTGCGCACATGTTGTCGTATAATAAATTGTTGCGCCGTTTTGAAAAAGCACTAGTCACCAACGGGGAGGCCTCCATCTTGAAATAAAGTGATCGCCATATCTCTCCCATCGCTTATTCACTCATTGAAAATCCCGAAATTCAGTGGAGAGTCGCTCCCGATGAGAGACCGACGAGGCATAATTGGCTGGGGATCCATCCGTTGCTCGTATTATGAAATGGGCTCCCGACTGGAAAAGCATAGCTTACTATTGGCTTGGCCTTCACCTTCAGTGATATCAGAAAAGGTCTTTAGGTCCTTCTGATAGCAAGGCAACTGAAGATAGTACAGGTGGCAGTACGTGCTCTTAGAAATGGAATTGTGACGTCAGGTCCTTAACTCTCCGTTTTCAGATTTGTAGGATTACCTTTCCACTTCAGACCCTTGTCGAGTGCAGTCAAGGAGGAAGGGTGGGCGACCTGAGATGGGGTAACTGGAGAACAAAAACAGTACTGCACTGGTATCATTATAACCGCTAGTAGGGCTTTGGGAGGGAGCTCAGCATGAATTGATGTATAAATTTCAAAAAAATGGATAGGAATATCCGAAAAAGTAGTAGCGAATGAAGATCAGAAACTATCAGACATTCTGAAATACATACAAGCAAAATTTTTTTTAAAAAAGGGGGGTACTATTCTACTATTACACCCCCATAACTATTCTAATGTTACACCCCCAAAAACTCAAAATTTTAATTTTCGATGAAACTTCGNNNNCGAAGTTTCATCGAAAATTAAAATTTTGAGTTTTTGGGGGTGTAATAGTAGAATAGTACCAAAAGGGGAACTACTGGACCCAAATCCGAAAATTCAAAAAGTCCCAAAATTGTGAGCTATTCTGACCCCATATTATCATGGATTGCGAATTTCTCAGGAAAACCTATATTTCAGTAAAACTTTTAAGTTTAAATAGGTATTCTACATAGTTGCGCCTCGAATCTGAGGTTTTTACGGCTTCGAAGGGAAAAACATAGTAAATAATGTCAAAAGACGAAAACAAGAAGCAACAAGAATAATATTTTCTTGAGAGACAGGACAAATCTGAAGTGCTTGAAAATTTGGCGTGCAGCCAATAGTTTGGCACAGTGCCAAAGCCATTGCTCTGATCGTTCGCACCATACGTAAAGGCCCTAACAGCCGTCTTGGTCATCGGTAACTTCATAGGAAAGCAGAAAAAAAGAATGATTGATAATGGTTCGAAATCTTTCGCCTCTGAATTTTATTAGTTTTTTGAAAAAGGAATTCTTGATTTTTTTCTTATTCTACATTTCATGAAAGTGCCGAAGACTGGTGAATGAAATGGAATAAAATAGCTTCGGAAAATGCCAGCTCACGACAGTTTTTTACCCATGCCTCCACTCGTACTTTGTCATACCTTTACCTCCCACAGTAGGTCATACCGTATACCAGTATGCTAATCATGATGGGTGGCATCCGATCGCATACACTAACATGCATCACTCGAAGGTGTTGTTTGATGAAGCGCAAACGCCTTCTTCCAACATTTGCGGCTACGCTTGGCGTATTAATTTGTTTGAGAACCCTATCACTATCCATTCTTCTCCTCGTCCTCCTCCGTCACAGAGAATACAAACAATCTATCTCTTCGTTTCGTTTGTGATTTTCACCTTGAATTCAGCTTTCCCCGTAGAAATAACTCCACCAGTAGTGGATTGGACAGTGACGAACTCTTACAATAACAAATGAGTAGCAAGGAGGAGAACTACATGGGGAAGATGTCGTGAAACGTGTCCCTTTGCAAAGTTCAGAGAAAGTTTAAATAAACGATGAGAGAAGGTTGATCGACTTGGCCCACTATCGACTACATCACAGAACATGGTAGCTTGTGAAACCATAAAAATTCCACAAAAAATTATTTTTGGCCAGTTTGGGTTACTAGTTGCCTACGTAGTAACCTCTGAGGCATAGGGTTGCTTGCCAAGGATTTTTGTCGTCTGGGGAGGAAGGATTAGCAACGTCCCACAAAGGTCTGCTCTATTGATCATCGCACTGGGCAAACGGAGCTCGATGCCTAGGAAAACACCGGGTCAAGCATGACTAGTGGAGTAGAAAGCCGTCCACGGCCTAGCTGGTCAGTCACGCATTCGTAAGCTGGTCATACCAGTTTCGATACAAATACTAGTAGTAATAGCAAAAAAAGAAAAAGAGAACAGACATAATACAGTTCCATTATAGTAAGTAAAAGCAAAAAAAATCAACAACGTACTGTTTAGCTGAAACCATAATGGCAAAAAATGTGAGTAGCGTTGAAGTAATAAAATAATTCAGTCGATCTACTGGATCGTCAAATGACTGTGGCTTAAACCAGCTCCAGATCGCATTGTCAAGAAATGGTATGCCCAACATTCTAAAATTTTCCGATTGCATCATACAAATAAAACAAGGCAATAAAGGAGTAGAAATGAGAAGAAACTGAACAAGAAAATTACCAGCTACAAATACTACAGAAAATTACAAAAGGGAAATGCCAAAGAACGAACTGTACGAACATCAACTATCCGACTACGCTGCGCAACAACGAGAGAGCAGATGGCAGCACTGAGAACCGAAGTGCTTTCCTCGTTCGTATCTGATCTACAATAATCAAAAAGATAGTCATTACTGTTTCACAGACACAGTCATTACTTATCTGACATCCTATTACGAGAACATATGCACAAAAAGATGAGAACGAAAAAGGTTAGGACCTGCATGGTTCCATCCTGTTTACAGTACGAGTGAAGAGAAGAACATGTAAAAGTAATAGAAGAGATGGTCAAATAAAAATGACAAGTAGATGAATGAGACAAATCAATCGCAGAAGATATAATAGAAGGCAATGAGGGCATGGCACGAAACGTTCACGATAAAGTACTGTAGGTAGCGTAGCTCAAGGGTAAATCAAAGCGCTTGAAGAGTCTTTATCAAGTAGGGTATCGGAATCATTACTCTAACTAGTTCGTTGTTTTAGTAACAGTTGTGCATTGAGGCATATGATGGATGGAGCCTCGCGCCGGGCCTCGCTTGGTTGGCTGACCCCTGCCACGATCAATGGCATGGTATGGACGCGGGTCACTGAGCCCCGCCCCCATCCCATATGCCTATCGAGGATCGCCCGACCGTACCCAGGGAATCCTAGCGCTGGTTAGTTACGGAGTCGATGTTGGCCGAGGGACAGAAGGGGAGTGTGTTGAGGTTGCTTTCTCCTCCGACGCGCTGTCGTCTTCACAATGATATGCGTCGCGTCTGCGGTATTTACATTTCCTCTTTCCACATTTTAATGACAGCCGATCGCTGAAAGTCTAAACTATAACCTGATCAGCCAGACCAGCTAATGATAACCATGCGATGAGCATCAACGACCGTCTGAATGTGAAGAATTACCCAGCTGTGCGCTGCACTCAAAAGCATGTGCAGGAAATGGACGGCGTGCAAGCTGACGGCCCTTTTGTTTGGCTCGAGCGTGACCCACGTTGTGCTATTATCGGTACGTGGCAAATGGCCTGCGCAACGAAGAAATGACCCTTTAGAAAGCAATCATTTCCCACAACTCAGGGATAGGCCGTAACCAGCTTTTCATCTACACGTCAGCTTATTCCCAACAAAAATCTCGTTAAAAACTCATCGATCACGGGTTTCATTGTGAGTACTATGTGCTGCGATCGTGATCGAATCGAGGGATGAGGGTCTAGCTTTGTTGCCCCGCTTAACAAACAATACGTCGATAAAGAGGCGAATCCGGGTAAATATGACGGCACATGGATCGGGTCTAAGCATGAATCGGACCGTCTGTGTCCGTGTTGACTCTAAACACTTGTGGCGCTCCCGTACTCATTAAGGATTCCCGATATTCCATCGTTCATGTGACCTTTGATATCCATGAAGGACAGGCACGGTTCCCGAGATTTCTCTTGTACTCAGAAATAGGATGGGTACAGCTATTGTAGTAGACAAGTTCCGTTGGATGTTTCAATAACGGCTTCCCTGGAAAACCGGATTCATCGCACAACCACATATCATTTTGTTGACAAAATACTGGTAAAAATAGACGAGAAGTAGAATTTTGAAAGTCGTCACTCACGCTAACATAACGAACACTTCAGAAGCAGTTATGATCAGTCCGTTGCTTAAGCGACGGTAAGCTAGGACTCCAGGGCGTCGCCATATCAAACCATCATCGACAATTGAAGCCACCTTTAGCGTTTCAAAAAAATTGTATTCACAGCTGTCCTGGCGACCGACATCAAGTTCGACATCAATGAGTTTCAGGAAAAAACCGAGAAAAATTAGGAATTCTTCCGATTCTGCAGAATTCTATTAATGCTCTCAAAGTAGAGCCTCTATTGGCCTACGCAGCGTGACCAAAAGTGTAGTGGGCATAAAGTACAAGCTTATCAAAGCCATGACTTTCTTCATAGTTAACCATATTCCAAGAAAGTAACGAGTAAGATGATGGGAGACGTCAGGTCCTCTGAGACCGCTTATTACGGCCGCTTAACCACCTCGACTGATATGACTTCACCATGAATCAAGGAGCACCACCCTATGAGGTTTCCTTCATATAAACTTGGACCTGGTGATGGTTAGGAAGCTCTTACTGCTGACAGAGAGAAACACTTCCAGTATAAAAGCAGTTGAGATCCATATAGATGCTTGTTACCTGAGAGGCGCCACACTCTCGACGTTATCGTAGACTTACAAAGGCAGGAATGAATCGGTTTTACTTGTTATTTGTCATGTAGCACACAAAAACCAAAATAATCACCGTTGAAGCAGGAGATTTCGTTACTCCGAGCCTTGCTAAGAAAAAGAAAACAAAAGTTAGCTCAAAATTGATAGTACGTGTGTGAAATAATGCGATGTTGAGGCTGGATCTTTTGGAAACGTGCTTTCATTGTGTGCTCGACACTCGAGTAACCGAGCTGGATCAAAGGAACAAATACAGCATACACTTGTGTTGACATTCAACTTTTATTGATTCAATATTTCTGTGAAGCATGAAGAATGACGCTACTTGCTACTGCAACTATACTACATATTTATTATCTGCATTTACAATCAATTATTTCTATTCTTACTTAGTACAAACTTGTAAACATATAAACATCAATATGTTCTGTCTGGAAGATTGGAATCATTGAATAGTCCATCTATAAGCCGATTTTGAGGCCAACGTCCATCGAAGGGGGAGTCGCATGCCTAGAGCGTATCCAGTAAGGCATTTAACGTTGCCAGGAGCTTTACTACTATTTTTAAGAATTCAGTAAGATTGGAAAACTTCTTGTTCGCAGTTGATCGGATTTATCGGCTTTTTTCAAATGTTTTATGGAATTTGAAGCATTTCACACTTCTGGAGCTGTGTGCACAGCCAAAACCCAGCGGGCCATGACGGAGTGTAATGTAGTGATTTCAAAGAGGTCAAGAAGAGTAGGTAAGAGAGCTGTAAATTTGTTGGTAATCAAATGATCTCCTTTCCTGACTAGTACATACGTATGCATAAGTCTGAACAACTCATGTCACAGAAAATCGTGAAAAGATAGGAATGTTTCAATTGAGTGCTTGGAAAATTCAGAGACCTTTTTTTGGTATTGTTGTTAATTGTTTGTGTTTACTGTACTGTAAATACAACTTTAACTGAACTACAAAGCATAGAACTTTTGAAGTCAGTGTGCTTCTCAGACATTTCTGTGTGAAGGGAAGTTGTAGGGGAAAGGGCGTGGCAGAATTCGTCATAAACAGAACGGATAAAGTAGCCTTTTCTTTCCAGTAAGCTCTTAACTTGTAATCTTTGTCCCTGTCTGATATATGTAGGTTTAGCAACACATTCATTACTGTTTCTAAAATAGTTACCATTTATTTGATGTAGAATTCATGACAAATGTGGAAAGGTGTTTGCTTAAAGCTATAACTAGCTCGATATGGGAAAAACTATGTGGAAGTTTACACAATACCTTGTGTGACATCAGCACTGAGAGCGACGTTCACATGAAACGACTCAAAGTAATGCAACCCTCCGCAGTCCCCAATTGCTTGATCAAGGGCAATTTATTGAAGGTGTTGCATGGTCCAGCTGTTATTTCCATCAAAACGTCGCCCTCGCTAAGGTTGAAAATCCTTTTTCGTCGAGTATAAACCCCACAACTTGGGATGCGTACAAGACGGAGACATCGGGTCGGTGGAAGACTAGTTAACTTTGGGCTGATTTCGTGGTTTCTACACCGGATCTTGGGTCTGATTCCTGGTTAATGGGTAGTTCAATCCCTCTTGACACTCATTGCCTTCAATCTTGAGTAGTAATAAGAGGTTAATCCATTTTTTCTTTTCAAAAGACCTTTTATTTATCAAGGCGAACAACTGAGGCATAACAGCGGATTGGTAAAGTTGTCGAAAGTCTGCAAAAAGTGATTATTGCGCAAATTATTAGCTTTTGGGAGGTTCAGACGATCAGGATTGAGTGGGCGACACCTGCGTTTTATTGAGATAGTGTTTCCTCCCATACTCGTTGGGTTACTGCTGAGCACTGGAATTAGGAAGTGGGTATCGGAAAACTGGTCAGGAAATGTACGCTCGGAATGATGCAAAGATGGGAACCCGTTGAGATTTGTTCCGTTGTTTTTCCGGAAGTGAGACATCATCTGAAGGGAACGACGAGGCGAAATCGGAAATATCTAAACATTACAGTTATAACTGGCTGTCCGTGCTAGCAACGATTCCCACTCTTATCACAGGGGCTTAATCTCAATTCGCTCAGATAAGTACATGAACAGGGATGGTCTATTGAAATCCGCTTTTCGTCAGTAGTGGATGCTGCTCAAGGAGAAAGAAATCCAGCAGCACTCTCAAAACCCTTATGAGCCCTTTTAAACAATTAGGGGGTCGGATCATGAATAGCATTCATAGAACAAGACTTGCTAGGTGGTTTAAGGGTTATCCGTGGTAATATCGAGAGGCCCCAGATTCGTGATCATTCTAGTTCAGGATAAAAGGATATAGGGCGAAGTCCTCGACGTGAACCAGCCCTGTTTTGAGACGCGCCCTAACATTCGAATTCCGTTCAGAATCGTAGTGGTATCTAATGCCTGTGTGGCCTACACAATGAACTATCGGTGGTCAACTGTTGATGTTCAGTGTTTTATCATCCCAAACGAGTCTGGTTCAAATTAATCGACCCAAGAGAGAGAGAAGGCTAGTTTGGTCACTAGTAACTTCATGAAAACTTCCCTACAGTAAGGATCGACCTAGCCATTGGTTTTGTTAATGCCACAGGCGCTGCCATAGCAGCTCATTTCTGAGAAGGAAAAGAGGGGTTGACAAAAAATTTGAGGTCCAAAATGTTCTGTTCTAATCTAAAAATTTCAGCTCCTGTC